GACTCCGCCGCCGCGGCTGCTACGGCTGGCGGTGTCGTCGGGCGCGGCGTTTATTGAGCACATTGGGTTTGAAGCCGCGGTCGATGGCCCGCAACTTGTTGTCGAGGCTTCGTTCAACGGCTTCCGCGCCGCGTCTCAGCCGGTGCCTGCTGCCGTTGAACCGGGCTTTGATACCTTGTTCGAGCTCCCGCTGCCGGCTGGCCCGCCACACGCCCTGCTCCACCTGGCGGAGCGCGTCCACATTGCTGTTGTGCGTGTCGATCCTCAGGGCGTCGAGCCCGGGCCCGTCCGCACCGTCATCGGCGCGTACGACCTCGAGTGGCGCGGCGTCCTCGCCGCCGTCCGCGACAAGGCCTCACTCGAGCTCCGCGGTGTCGGCGAGGGTGCATCGGTCACCGCAGGCCTCCTCGATGTTGCGCTCTCGGTCTCGCCGCCGTTTGCGTGCACCGGCCTGCTACAGGAGCCCGAGCTCCGCAAGGCGCTCAAGGACGAGCGCACGCGCGAGGCCCAGGCTGACAAGGCCTTCCTCATCTACGCCAAACAGTGGTGGCGCGAGTATCTCGCTGCACGCGATGTCCACCGTCACCGAGTCGTCAAGGTCCTCGCCGAAAATGAGGCCGGCGTCTCCCGCCCGGTCTCGACCTTTGTCACGCCGTTGCCGGCCGGCCGGCTACTCGGCTCGCCGCGGGCCGCCGCCCGCTTTGTTGCCCTCCTTCACCACGTCCGCCCCCTCCGCGTCGGCGGCGAGCGCGCCGAGATCTGGCATGCGCCCGCCAGCGTCCTTGCCCAGGGCGCGGGTGCCATCCACGACCTTGCCCTCCTCCTCGCCTCGCTCTTCCTCGGCTTTGGCCTCAACGCCTACGTCGCCGTTGGTACTGGGCCGGCTGGCGCCTACACATGGGTGGTCACTCTTGACTCGCCCGCCACCGGTGCCGGTCCAGTCTTCTGGGATGTGCTCTCGGGCGAAGCCCACGACGACCTCACCTCGCCTGATACTTCCGCCCTCTTTGCCACTGTTGGCACACTCTTCAACAACACTCAGCTCTATGCCAACGCCCAGGCCTCGGACGCGGTCGCCACCACAGCGTTTGATGTGACTAACCCTGACCACTGGGCCGCCATGGATCCAGACGTGCTGGCGGCCTCGCGTCCGGCTGCGCGCACGGCCCTTCTCCCGTCGCCCATGGACGCCATCGATGCGGCGCTGGGCCTCGAGACAGTCGTTGCCGCTCGCCTCGAGTCTTATCGTCGCGAGCTTGGCCTCTCAACCGTCTGGTCACACCCGCTCTCACATCTACTCGAGCCTGCGCTCGCCACCTATGAGCTGGAGCGCCTCGCCGGCGCCGCTGTCCCCGGGAACGCCGAGTTCCAGCAGGCCGTCCGCGCCCACGTTCCGCGCGGCTCGGTCTTCAAGGCATTCCCCATTCAGTTCAAGTCGCCTTCGCCCGCCCCGATCTGGGCTGCCCTCCTCGACTCACCGGTCGCTGCCTCCATCATCCAATCCCCGCACCCGCGCGCCAAGTTTGGCCTTCGCGTCTCGGTTGCCACCTACCCGGACGCGGTCGCCGCCGTCTGGCTTGTCATCGCCCTCATCTACCCCAAGTCCACGTAACCAAATGACATCAAATCACCTATCCCCCCCCCCCCTCCTCCCCTGTACCGGCACGGCGCCGGCACTGGCACAAACCGCCGGCGACCGCCGCGGCAACCACTGGCCCAAGCCCAGAAGCGACACACCTGTCGGGCGAGCCAAGCACCAGATGAGCGAGGCCAACGAGGAAGGCATCCGCACCCTCATAGAGATGGGCCTCTCCCAACCCCGGGCCGTCACTGCCCTCGAGGTACGCTGTCCGTCCGACCCCGCGCCATCCCCCTCCCCCTCCCCTTCCTTCCTTCACCCCTCCCCGCCTCCCCGCCTCCGACAGGTCGCAGGTCGCACTCACGCCGCAGACCACAAGACAGAAGGGCGGGAACAATGTGGAGCGGGCCATCGAGTGGCACTTTGCCCACATGGACGATGTAGCGGTGCCGGTTGCCGGGCGCACCTCGCCCGTCGAGGGCAATGGCGGCGGCCATGGTAGCGCACCGCCGGGCGGCGCCTCGGCAGGCGTTGACGCCCGCGAGGCGTCTGCGGCTGGCGCGCTGGCTGGCATGGGTGGAGCAGGCACAGGCGCTGGCAGCGTGGCCGGCGCAGGCACCACCGTCGCCGGCCCAGCCAACAGGCCGAGCATCGAGGAGGAGCAGCTGAACAAAGCCATCGCAGAGTCGCTGAAGGAAAGCCAGGGCGGCGGGGCAGGCGCTGCCGCCTCGGACGCCGCCGGCGGGAGCAAGGTCACTACCGAGGACGAGGCGCTGTCGAGGGCCATCGAGGCCTCACTGGCGGACAAGCCCGGGTATGATCCCATTGCCATGGAGGCTGTCAATCCGCACGACCGCGTCCGCGATGACCCGTCGCTGCCGGTTGGTCTCAAGAACATCGGGAACACGTGCTACGTCAACTCGCTCATGCAGACCTACTTTCACCTCCCGGTCCTCCGCTACGCCGTTCTTTCGTTCGAGCCGGCACCTGAGGATTATGCCATTCTCGACGCCATGGAGCTCTCCGACGACACGGCCACCAACGCGCTGCGGTTTGTGCAGGAGATGCAGCGCCTCTTTGGCTTCCTCTCGCTCACCACGCGCAAGGCCCTTGACGTCCGCAAAGTCATGAACACCCTGCTCGCCGCCGACGGCAAGCCTATTTCCATGGGCGCCCAGCAGGACGCACAAGAGTTCCACATGCGGTTCATGCAGCGGCTCGAGGAGGCCTTTGACATTGACTTTGCCGCTCGGACCGCCGGTGCTTCAACAGAGGCTGCTTCGCCGCCCGCCGAGCAGCAGCAGCAGCTCCTGTCACGTGCCAATGTCATCCGTGCGCTCTTTCAGGGAAAGGTCGTCTCTGTCCGCCGCGGGAACGAGGCTGACGGCACCCCGTTCGAGTCGGTCAGCACCGAGTCGTTTGCAGAGATCATGGTCCCGCTCGCAGACAACATCTACGACGCCCTCGACGAGTACACTGCGCCGTCGACCATCTCCGGGTACATTTCGCCGGCCGGCCACACGACTGATGCCGAAGAACTAACCATGTTTGAAGAGTTTCCGCCCGTTGTCGCAATCCAGCTCCGCCGTGTCGTCTACAACGCCGCGGTCGGCCAGCGAATCAAGCTCAACTCCAAGGTCACGTTCCCCAAGTACCTGTATATGGACCGCTACCACGCGTCCAACGCCGCCACTGCATCCAAGCTCCGCGAGCAGGCCAACGGGCTCAAGGCACAGCGGACCTCGCTCAAGGCCCAGCTCGAGAGCTACCTTAGCTTTCCGGCCGGCGACGCCAAGATGCCGGTTCAGCAGCTGCTGCGCGGGTCGCTGTCGTACCTTGACGAGCTGACGTCGGACACACCGCGCCCGGTCGGTGCGCCGCCGGCGCCCGAGCTCGATGCCATGAAGGCCTTCTTCCAGCGTGCTCTCACCGCCGAAGTTGCTGCCGTCTCCAAGCTCGAAGAGTCCATCTCGGTCCTGGAAGATCAGATCGAGCAAGTCTACGCCCACATGACCGACCATCCCTACCGGCTGCATTCAGTCTTGGTCCACTCGGGTGGCGCCCAGTCGGGCCACTACTGGTCGTTCGTCTACGAGCCGACCGAGGACAAGTGGTACAACTTCAACGACGCCACCGTCACCGTCGTGGACGAGGACAAGGTCTGGGCCGACTCGTTTGGTGACACTTCGGGCACCAACGCGTACTGCCTCTTCTACGTCGACGCCTCTAGCGACAAGAACTTGCCGGGCAAGCCGCTGGCTGGCCCGTCGTCGTCAATGGCCTCCACTGCGTCGTCGGCCTCGGGCGCGCTCGCGCTACCCACTCCGGCTTCGCCCGTCGCTGGAGGCCCGCTTGTAGGCGATGAGATCTCGCGGCTCATTGCCTCACCCAAGGCCGTCTCCCACGCCTACTTTACCTCGGTCGTTCCGCCCAAGCTGCAAGACCTGGTCGAGGCTGACAACGCCGAACTCGTCGCCGAGATGGCCAAGTGGGATGCCGAGCACGCTGACGGTGCCGCCGACTCGCCTGCTTATGGACCGCCCACTCTGGCCGAGGCCCAAGCCGCCGCTGTCGCTCGCGCCCAGGCTACCACAGACGCATCTTTGGCTGCCACCGCTGCCGTCACCGCTCCCGGCTCGGCGGCCTCATCCCCAGAGCTCGACGAAGGCAAGACCACCGCGTTTGTCGCTGCGTTTGCCTCCGAGCTTGAGAATCTTGCTATGGGCATGTCCCAGCACTCGACCATCCAGGACGAGCGCCTGGAGTCGTTCCCGCTCTTCCTTGCCCTGGAAGGCATGCCCGACATTGCCAAGCATGCCATCGCTGCCAAGGTCGTCCACGCCATCACCGGCACCGCTCTCAACGCTGATGCTGACACGCTGAGCGCCCTCTCGTGCGCCCTCCACGCCGCCGGCCACGACGATGCCGACCTTGCCTCGTTCCAGCCTGCCGTCGTCACCCAGCTCCGCACCGCTTATGCCAGCTTTTGCAACACCTCGGCCACGCTGCTTGCCGGGCTGACTGCACTTTCGAAGCGCGACGCCGTCAACGCACTCCGCCTGTTCGCGCACGGCCTCGCCCGCGATGCGCACGGCGCCCACGGCTCGCGCCGGCGCGAGCTCATCTTCTTCCTACGCGGCACATTGGTCCTTGTCGCCGACGCCGCGCGGCTTGCCCTCGGCAAGCACACCGAGAGCGAAACCTCGCGCGGCCTGGTCCTCCTTCACGCCGCCGCCGCCGTCACCGTCGCCTCGCTCGCCGCCGACGATCGTCTCCGCCTCGCCCTCGCAGCCCAGTGGCTGAGTTTGCTCGACAAGGCTGCCGCCTCTTCCTCGCCGCTGCCTTCCCCGCACCATCTCGAGCTCATTGCTGCCATTTCTGACCTCCTCTCGGGTGCCCGCGGCTCCGGCGCTGCTGTCCTCACCCTTGTCCCCCTCCCTGATGCAGCCGCATCCGCCGCCTCGGCCACGCTCTCCCGCACCTCCTTTTCCACTGCCTTTACAGTCGCCGCCGCCACCTACGGCCCACGCTTCTCATCGCTTCTCAAGCCCATCTACGGCGCGGACTCGGACGCGCTCGAGTACACATGAATACACGCCCCCCCCCCCCCTCCTCCCCACTACGGCCGATGGCCGATGGCCGATGTGGCCAGCAGCAGGAAAATCGCAACCGAGTCAAAACGCCCAAAATGGCAACCCACCAGCCAACCAACCCAACAACCAGCCAGGCGAGACGAGACGCGGAGACGTTGGCAACGACCAACACCCGACCCACCCCCCCACCCCCTCCCCCCCCGTCCACCCCACCCCCACCTCCCACAACCATGAACGGTGGCAACGGGAGTGGCGTTCCGCGGTTTGTGCGTGTGCTCCTTGTCGACGGGACAGCCAAGAGCCTCGCCCTCGGCCCCGCCACTACCGTCGGAGCGCTGCTCGCGGCGCTGGCGGAGAAGATAGCCCTTCCGGTGGCTGCGGCGGTTACGGATGCGAGCGCTGCTGGCGAAGATGCCGAGGGCGAGGCTGCGGCTGCGGCGGGCGAGGCTCCGGGCGCAGGAGGCCATGTCGCCGACGGGCCGTTCACCCTCTGGGCGCTGGACGACGACGGCAGCGAGCTCGGGCGAGAGCGGCTGGCGCTTCCGCTGCCGGCAGACCTTGTGCTGGCCAAGCTTCTGGAGGTGTGGCCCATGCTGGCCGATGCGGCGGCGGTGCGCAGCAGGAGCGGCGACTCGGCGACGGCCATGGCGGTGCCGGTGCTCTCGGTGCCGGTGCTGCGGCTGTCGCGGTCGCCGCTGGCACCCGGCAAGTTGTGGCACTCGCAGGACGCGCGCGTGGTTGACGCGGCCTATCGTGAGGCTGTGGCCCTGGTGCTGTCGTCGGCGGTGGCTGTGCCGTCGTCCATGGCTGTGGCTCTCGCTGGCATGCACGCCCACGTGGCGTACGGCGACTTTAACTCGGCCGTCCACTTGCCGGGCTTCTTTGGCGCAGGCGTCGACTCGATGGTGCCGGCGGCGGTTGTTTCCGGTAAGGGCTACAAGCGTGGCTCATGGGAGAAGAAGATTCTGGCCGAGCACCGCAAGCACGCCCTCCGCCACCCGCTGCTGGTCAAGCTCCTCTACCTGCACACACTGCAGTCGGTCTCGCGCCATCTCAACTACGCGTTCTTCTGCTCCTCCTCGCCCGACGCAGCGCTCCCGCTTGCCAAGCGCAAGCGCTCGTCGATGTCACGCTTCAAGCTCCCGGTTGCCCGCCTCGGTGTCAACGCCGACACCATCCTCCTCGAAGTGCCAGCGCCCAAGGCCTCGGCCGCACCCATCGAGTACATGCTGGACATGCGCTCGCCCGATGTTGACATGCGGGTCGAGCCCGGGCCGCTTCTGGACCCGACATCGCTGCTGCTGGTGACTGTCTCATCGCCGGCCGCCGTCCTCGCTCCACCTTCGGCCTGGGCTCAGGCCCACGGCAAGAATCTTGTCTTTGCCTTTACCTCGCCACTTGCTGCCTACCTTCTGGCTTTGCTTGAGATGCTTGGCTCGGCGTCGCCACGGCTGCCGCCGTTTGAAATGCTGCTTGCCGACCCGGCGGAAGCGTCATCGAGGCCCGGGACGCCGCGAGCTGGCTCGGCACCGAGCTCACGAGTCTCCTCCTCGTCGTCGTCGTCGGCGGCGGCGTCGGCGGCGTCGGCGTCGGCAAGCTCGGCAGCAGCAGCGACGACTGCAGCAGCTGGCGGCGCTGGTGCTGCCGCCGCCGCGAGCTCCAAGGCGAGCAGTGGCCGTCAGACGCCGCGTGCCGAGTCGCCGCAGGTGGGTGACGCGACACCGCTGGCACTGATCAAGGTGGCCAAGGACGCCAACTACTCCAAGCTTGCGCTGGAGAGCGTGCCGGCGGAGCTGGGCACGACGCAGGCACAGGCGACGGTGTGCTCGCTCCGGCTTGATCGCAACCAGCTCTCGCGGCTTCCGGCGTCGATCGGCTCACTCTTGCGGCTGACCTCGCTCAACCTCTCGTACAATGACCTCACAGAGCTGCCGACGGAGCTGGGCTTGCTGAGCAACCTCACGTCGCTTGAGCTCGTGGGTAACGCATTGACCGAGTGGCCAGCGGCGATGAGCTCGCTGGACAAGCTGGAGATTCTGGATTTGGAGCGCAACTTTCTGCGGTCGCTGCCAAGCTCGCTGGTGGGCCTGCGGTCGCTGACGCGGCTGCAGGCGTCGAAGAACGAGATTGCAGACGTGTCCGAGGTGCCTTGGTCGTCGGGCTTTGAACACCTGGTGCTGCTGGACCTCTCGCACAACGCGCTCACCAGGCTGCCTGCCTCGATGGCGTCGCTGCTGACGCTGCGTGTGCTGGACCTCCGCAACAACGCGCTTGTCGAGCTGCCGGACATGCTCTCGCAGCTCCCGGTCCTCTTCAAGCTCAATGTGTCGGACAACAAGATCCAGCAGCTCCCGGCCTCACTCTTTGACCTCGACGCGCTCAAGGACTTTAACGCCGACCGCAACGAGCTGACCGGCTTTGCCACGCCTTCGCCGGCACAGCTGAAGAACGCCAAGCGGTCGCGGCTCCTTCCGTCGCTTACCACCATCTCGCTTGTCTCCAACAAGCTCCGTGCCATTCCCGAGGTCCTATTTTCGCTGCCGAGGCTGCTGCTGCTTGACGTGACCGACAACCAGCTGGTGTCGATTCCTCCGTCGATTGGCAAGCTCAAGAACTCGCTCTGCGTCTTTTCGGCCGGCATGAACGCGCTGGAGGAGCTGCCTGTGGAGCTCTTTGCGTGCAAGCGGCTGCAGGAGCTCTCAGTCCCGTGCAACACCATCCGGGTCCTGCCGTCCAAGGTCCTCTCACTCTCGTCGCTATGGAAGCTCCATGTCGGCGACAACGAGCTTGTGGCGTTGCCGAACCTCTCCAAGCTTGTCTCGCTCGGCGAGTTGGTTGTCTCGGGCAACGCGCTGACCTCGCTCCCTTCGTGGGTCCTCACGCATCCGGGGCTAGAAGCGGTATACGCGGCGCGGAACGAGATTACTGCGCTCATGGGCTCGCGACTGACGGCCCCGCTGGAGGTCCTTGACCTCGAGCACAATAGACTGACCGCCGACGCCATGCCGTCCGCGTTGCTCTCGGCCGCCGACGGCGTGGTGCACTGGAAGCACAACCCGGGCGCGCCGACCGAGGCCAAGCCGATGCAGGGTGTGGAGAACCTGGTTGGCGAGCTCCTCGATCCGGTGGTGCTCAACGAGCATGCAGCGCGGTTTGAGCTCGGCACGGCCGACATGGTCGGCGTCCGCGAGTCGATGGAGGATGCTCTGCTCGTGGGTTGGCAGCTGTGGTCCGAGCCGGACGGCTCGCCGGTCGATCTGTTTGGCGTCTTTGACGGGCACGGCGGCTCGTTTGGCTCCAAGTTTGCGGCCGACACGCTGCCAGACGTTGTGACGGCCATGCGCCGCGACGACGGGCGCCCAGCGCTGCTCGAGGGCTCGGCCACGGCGCAGTTTGAAGCCGTGGCCACGTTGCTCTCGGACGCGCTCCGTAAGACCGAGTCGTCACTCAAGTCGGCCATCAAGGCGCGGCTGCGCAAGATGCCGCGGCTTAAGTTTGTCGGTTCGACCGGCGTCATGGCGCTTGCTGTCGCCAAAAAGCTGTACATTGCGAACATCGGTGACTCGCGCGCGGTTCTCTGGGTCCCAGCCCTCCCGTCGGGCGCGGTCCTTGGCTCGACCGGGCCAGTGGCGCAGGTCCACAAGCACCAGCCGCCGCCCGACTATCCGTGGACGCATCTGGAGGCCTCGTCTGGTTTTATCAAGCGCCTCTCGCATGACCACAAGCCCGAGTCGGCCGACGAACGCACCCGCATTCGCTCGCAGGGCGGGTACGTCGGCGACGAGTGCCGGGTCAACGACATTGTTGCCGTCTCGCGTGCCATCGGCGACTTTTATGTCAAGCCGTACGTCTCGCTCTGCCCAGACATCACTGGCCCATTTGAGCTCGACGGCCTCTCTGGCTCGGTCCTCGTCCTCGCGTGCGACGGCGTGTGGGACGTGCTCTCGGACGGCCAGGCCATGACCACCATCCTCGCCGAGCTCGCCGCGCCCGGCCCGGACCCGTGCGCTCGCGCCGCCTCGCGCGTCCGTGATCTTGCCTACCAGCTCGGCTCTGGTGACAACATCTCGGTCATGGTCATCCGCGTGTAGCTCCTATCGTCATCCCACGCACGCCCGCGCGAGTAACACTATCCAGCAAGATCCATCTCCCCTCCCCCCTCTAGTTCGGTCGGCCCGAGCCGTGACTCGGTCGGAGAGTCGGTCGGTCAGTTGGTGGCAGGGAAAAATGAAGACGGTGGGCGAGTGGCCAAAGTGTTGGGGAGTTAAGGACTCACACCACTCTGCATTAATCAACATGGTCCAGTCTGTGCAGGTCTTCGGCCGCAAGGTACGTACCGCCACGGGCAAAGCGCCCTGCGCTACCACCCCCCCTCCCACCCCATGTACTAGTCCATGGTGCGCCCCTCGCCCCCTGCTCTCCTGCTGCCTGCTCCCTGTTCCTCGCTGCGCCCCCCCCCGCCGTCCAGCTGCTCCGTCGCCGTGCTTGCGTCGCGATGGCCGCCCGTCCGGAGCGACGGCATTGGCGGCGGCATGGAGCGGCGAGCAGGGCGAGCATGGAGCAGCGCACAGCCCCCCGCAGCCGCACACGGCTAGTGGCATGTTTGCGCAGTGTGTTTGGCGGGTAGCGTGGCAAGTGGCGCAGATACCCGGGCCGAGGCGGGCCGGGAGGAGGAGGGCGACGGGGCGAGTGATTTCCGGCAATTTTGTGTGTGTCGGCGGCGGAGGAGCCGGGGGCCAGGGGGGGACGGGCATGGCAGCAGCAGCAACCGGAGGAGGAGGTGGCAGGCACTCACGGGAGGAACATGGGAGGACAAATGCAGAAGAACGCAACCGCCGTGGCTTACTGCAAGGCCGGCAAGGGCCTCATCAAGGTCAACGGCGCCCCGCTTGACCTCGTGGCCCCGGAGATCCTCCGCTACAAGCTCTACGAGCCGGTGCTCCTGCTGGGCAAGGCCCGGTTCGCCGGCGTCGACATCCGTGTCCGCACCAAGGGTGGTGGTTCGGTGGCGCAGATCTTCGCCATCCGCCAGGCCATCTCGCGTGCCATTGTTGCGTACTACGCCAAGTACGTCGATGAGGCCTCCAAGTCGGAGATCAAGAACATCCTCGTCAACTACGACCGGTCGCTCATCGTGTCGGACCCCCGCCGCTGCGAGCCGAAGAAGTTCGGCGGTCCGTCGGCCCGCGCCCGTGCCCAGAAGTCCTACCGTTAACAGCTTCGACTGCATCGAATCCATGTGTGTGCGTGAGGGTGGGGAGGGAGGCGAGAGATTGGTTGAGCTACGCCAGCCGAGGTAGAGCCGCGGGAGAGGCAGGTGCGATGGATGCGACGATGTTATTGGTCTGATGTTGCCTGGGCAGAGGACGCAGCAGTGGTAGTAGTGGTAGTGGTAGCAGTGGTGGTGGTAGTAGCAGCAGCCGGGGCGCCAGCCAGAGGCGGGTCGGTGTAGTCGGCCGGGACAGTGGGTGCAGCGTCGACAGGCTTGCGGGCAAAGGTGAGGTAGCCCGAGTGGCCGCCGATCTTGGCAAAGTTGCGGGCGGCCCAGTGCGAGGCGGGGCGGACGGAGCCGTCAAGGCTCTTTGTCCGCTTGGGCGCGGTGGACGAGGCCTCGTCGTCAGAGCCGGCGTCGTCGCCGGCGCGCTTGGCGCCGTGGGCAAGGTAGGGCGGGACCGAGAGCTGGCGCTCCTTGACCTCCATCGGCATGTGGACGTTCTCGACGGTGTGGATATCGACAAAGCCGAGCTCGCGGAGCCTGACACACATGCGCTGGACCTGCTCAATACAGGGCGAGAAGGAGCACATGATGCTCTCGCACTTGAGGACGTTGTAGGCGGCGGCGGCGGCGGACCACGGGGCCGGCAGATCGAGAAACAGCGCGTCGGCGTAGTTGTGCTCGAGGCCGATGCCCGGGAGGCCAAAGCCGTGGGCGCACACGTCGCGCTGAGTGCATGTCACCACGTCTGCGATGCTATGGGCGACAAACTCTGCAGTGGCAGTGGCGGCGCGGCCGGCGTGAAACTCAAAGGTATACACATGCCCACCCGGCGCGACCGTCCGTGCGAGAGCGTGCGAGAGCGAGCCCGATCCCGTACCCGACTCGACCACTACCGAGCCTGGAGCAAGGAGGAGCTTGGAGGTGACCAGCGAGATGTCGGGCGTGTACAAGATCTGAGTCCGGTGCGGCAGCGAGAGAGTCCACAGCTCGGGCGTCGGCCGCAGCAGATGCAGGTAGTTTTCCCGGGCCTTGCGCGAGCGGATCTATGCGGAGGGGAAGGGGTGAGGGGGGTGAGGGGGGTGAGGGGGGTGGAGGGAGGGGGAGGGGGAGGGGGGAGGAGGGGGTGGAGGGGGTGGAGGGGAGGGGGAGGAGGGTGGAGGGAGGGAGGAGGGAGGGAAGGGTGGAGGGGGAGGAGGGGGAGGAGGGGGTGAGGTGGG